CCACCCACCCCACAGTTCCCCCTTGCAGAGGTCCAGGTCCCACTTGACTCCTCATTGTGCCCACTGTCGGTGCCCACGCAGCACCCGCACCAGGGTGGCAGGTCCGGTGCCCGCCAGCGCCTGGCGAGGATGGGGCAGGGAGGGATGGGCATCCCAGTGGCTCAGCACAGCCCTCCCAGCGCCGGCGGGCTCAGAGGTGGCTCTCGGCTGTGCTCTCAGGAAACTCATAGCAGTGGTGATGGCCCCCCAAGGCGAGGTGCTCGGCCGTGCTGCGCCCGCTCCTGTCGGGGTGCTGGGAGCCGGGCTGGGGGGCCAGGCTGCGCCTCACCCCATTGCTGCAGCCACTCACCAGCTGGTGCTTCTCGCAGGTGCTGCCGGCACCGTTGCGGGCGCTGGGTGCGTGGCTGTAGGTGTGCTTGTACTCCTCAGCCAGGTCCTTCCCCAGCTTCCAGCGCTGCCACCGCTTCAGCAACTCTGCCTGCACCTGCGGGCAGCGGCTGTCAGCGTGAGTCCAGTGTTTACCCTGCTGCCCGTGCCCTGCTGTCCCTGCTGCCCGTGCCCCTGCTGCCCATGTCCTGCTGCCCGTGCCCTGCTGTCCCTGCTGCCCGTGCCCCTGTGCCCGTGCCCCTGCTGCCCATGCCCTGCTGCCCGTGCCCTGCTGCCCCTGCTGCCCATGCCCCTGCTGCCCGTGCCCCTGCTGCCCATGTCCCTGCTGTCCATGCCCCTTTGCTCCGCTCACCTCCTTGTTGACGAAGCAGTAGAGAATGGCCACCAGCATGCCCTGGGAGAGGGAGGAGAGGCATAACCAGACCCCAGTCTAGTCCCTCCTGAGACTGAGTGTCCCCATGGAGAGCTGGTCCTGGTCCTGCAAGRGCTGGGCTCACCTGGAAGGAGCTCAGGAAGAGGTCGAAGAAGAGCTTGACGTAGCGCAGCGTGCCCTGGGCGTGCTCATCTGTGACGAAGGCAAAGACCACCTCATGGATGCCCAAGAGCGGGATCAGCGTCAGCGTGGACTTGGCCAGCCTGTGGCATGGGGATCATGGTGGGCACACGTGCTGCCCTGTGTTTCCACGGTGCACACACGTGTGTGCCCACAGCAGGGTGAACACAGCCACAGCCAGCACCCACCTGAACTTGTAGTCGGTGTAACGCATCTGGTGTGCACGGAGCTTGGACACGAGGATCTGGATGATGCGGATRAAGATGAAGAAGTTGATCTGCAATGGAACGGAGTGAACCATCAGTGGCATGGGCAGGGCCAGAGGCTGACAGGACACGTCTGTCCTTCCTGGGCAGCCCCTCTCACAGCCATCTCGGGCCTGTGACAGAGACACGGAGCAAGCAGTGGGCTCACCAGGATGGCCAAGAACACGGGGAAGCGAAGGATCCACCAGAAGCCCATGTTGTTGTTTGTGGACCAGCACCTGCAGAGTGGAGGGATGGGGACTGCCAGCAAGTCCCCTGACCACACGGCTGCTGGAATCTGGCATGGCACTGGCAGCCACAGAGCAAACCCTAATGCCCAGCACCCTGCTCCTTGCACAGGCAATGGTGTGGAGSATTTCCATGGCCATCATACCATCCCCACATGCACCCTCTGTGCCCTGTGCCCCCTGTCCACAGCAGGGCTGGTACTCACTGGATGTTTTCGTAGAGGAACTTCACGATGACCCAGGGAATGAGGAACAGCATGGGTGCCCCTGAGGGGAGGTGGGCAGAGGGCAGATGAGGCACAGCCGGGGGGATGGACAGGGGGGCAGCCCACCCACACTCACCCCAGCCGATGCACAGGTACAGGGTGAAGTAGCTCCTCTCGGAGAAGACGGCCACCACCAGCAGGTTGTGCAGGTAGATGCCTTCCACCAGCAGCCAGCAGTAGTTGGCCACGATGCCGTACTGCATGAAGACTGTGGCTGCCCGGCATCCTGCGGCTGCCTGTGGGCACGGG